ATTTCACTTACAATACTGAGCATCTCCATTTATTTCAGTAATTTTTGTTTCCTTTTCGGTGAAATTTTTGTTCAAATTCTTTGCCCAATCTTATCCCCTACTGGTTATTGACTTCTTTTTCTATCTAATTTGCTGGGTTTTATACAGTAGGGTTAATTGCCCCTTTTGGTCTTCTGAGTTGTAAATACATTTTCCCAAATTTTCCTGTGCCTTCTAAATTTTCTTTTCATAGTTTTTGTTGTTGTTTTATATTGTTGTCAAATTTATAAGTTCTTATTTTGTCGATTTTGAATTGCAGGCCATGATTAGAAAGCAGAACTTCTGAGGGGTTTAAGCTATATTGCTCTGAATAGTCTTAGCAAACTTCAAAAAGGAGTGGAACAAAGAACTGCATAGAACTGGCGGCATGGGTAGCTTAGCTTAGTATGGGCCTCACACTTTAGCCTTGCTATTCAGTTTGACTTGGATTCTGAGTGCCATTGTATGGACAGGGTTCTTATTACAAATGACAGGAACTGACAGGTTAAGCCAGACGGGAAGCATAGTGGGGGAGCTCACAATCTAAGCAAAGTTTAGACAATAAAGCTCACAAAATAGTGTAGAAAAGACCTGGGACCAGACTACAACACAGTAGTAAAACAAGATGCTGTGAGAGGCAACCCCATATTTCCCAGCTCAAGTCTGGAGACCTCCCTGAGACCCTGGGCCTACATAAGCACATGATCTGTGACTGGATGGAGGCTGGGGGTAGATCATGGCATTAAGACCCAGATTACTGTTTCTTACTTTTACTATCTCTCTGTCTGTCTCTCTTGCTCGTAGAATAGATAAACTTTAAGAAAACTTAGAAAAGACCAAGAAAACATATATCCAAGATGCTACACATGCCCAGATCTGGTTTGGATGCTGCTGCTAGTAGTAACAGTACCTGTGGAAACAGGTTGTGACAGCAGAATGAATTAATTTTTCACCATTTCATTGTCACATGTCTCAGAATTATTGTTGTCAGTTACCTCAGATTCAAAGTCCCAAGTAGAAGCATTCAGTTGCCCAGATGATTATGAAAATTATAGAAAAATTAAGCTCAAATCTAAACTTAACCGAAGACTAGTGAGGAAATAAATGATACAGAGATGCATTATTTAGAGTTCTTGTTCTATTTCTCTCTAATGTAAAAGTTGCAACTTTGTTAAAAAAAAAAAAACTGATAGGACTGGCAGGTGGTGTGGTGGTTTAGGCACTGGATTCCCATATGGCTGACTATAGTTCAAGTCCTGGAACTGTTGTTTGTTTCCTCACTTGACCTTTTTCTCTCTCTCTCTGCCTCTCTTTTTCTTTTTTTTCTTTTTTTTTTTTTTTTTTTTTTTTTTTTAAGCTTTTCACCTTTAAAAAAACCAACCTTGACAGTAAGCAAGAAATCACACCCCATGGGGGATGGCCACGCCACAATCCCTTCTCCTCCATTCTCCTCTTGGGATCTTGGCATGCATGTACACGCGCCCAGCATGAGCCCAGCATGAGTTTAAGCCACCAGGTCTGGGATTTGAACTGCAGTCAACTACATGGGAGTCCAGTGACATAGCCATTATGCTAACTGCTGGTCCCTCTGCCTCTCTTCCTGGTCAAAATTTAAAAATAATTATAATAAGTAAAATTAAATAAATAAATCCTTTAAAAAAAAAAAAAAGATGATGATTTGCCCAGAAAAAGTTTCAGAGTTTGTTCATTCTATTGTAGAGATGTGATATATTTGAGTGATGAGTTTTATCAGTGTCTTTTGTCATAAATGAGTTCAGTTCTAATGCATGCTGAGATGAGAATTTTTCATATCTGTCCATTAAAATACTTTTCGTCTGTTGTAGGGACAGTAATGGTGCATTTAGCACAGTTTTGTTCAGAACTATTCAGCATCTACAGTTTCTATGGAAACAGATTTAACATTGACCCTGATTCTCTGCCTTTTTTTTTTTTGTCCAACATACAGTTATTTTCATAACAAAAGAGAGTCCGAGGTTATGTTATTAATCCAGTTTTATTCAATGGTCAGTTCTGCTACAGTTTGTCATTTGTATTCCTGTACTATGCAGTTATACACCATAGGGTTTACAGGGACAAATGGGATTGAAGCAAAATATTGGAACACTTCACTGGTGAAGTTCTTCATCTCTCTTTGATAGAAACCCAATAAAAACAATTCTCTACATGTTAATTGGTTAAAAAATACCTAAATGCAGTCATGTGCCACATATTGACATTGCAGTCAATGACAGACCACATAGTGGAGTAATGCTATTGTATTACATACCCAGGCCATATACAGCAGTGGAGCAATCGGCTATTCCACATGGCCTGGGTATGTAGTGGGCTATGTAGCCTCTCAGTTTGTGTATTCCCACAGTGATAAAACTGCCTCACATCCCTCTTAAGCCACTATACTAAATATGGCACTGTACCTTTCAAAAGACCGGGACATTTCTGTGGAAGTGGGCTTTTGAAAAGTTGCAGTTTGTAGATTGTTATAAAGTGGCTGTAGGAGGTGATGACATGAAATGATGGAAAGTTACAAAGTTACTGCATGTGGATGGGTCCTGCTCATAGCACATGCAGTAAACTAAGGCCATTGGGAATGTTTTGAGATGTGTGGCTGTTTTGTATTATCACTATAGGCTCAGATTAGCTGGGTGCAATTTTCTACATTCACCTAGTGTTTTCTCTAGATGAAAGGGACATTATGCTCAAATTGTTTCCTACTGTATCAGTTGCATTACAGTAATATTTGTATTTTTAAAACAAACATAGCAAAACAGACTTTTTTTACCACAACAACTCAATGTATATTTTATAGCAAAATTACTATTAGGGAATAAATGTTTTTCATTTCAAAACATTAAAGCAATGGTTTTAAAATTATTTCTCTTTTAAAATTAGCACCTTTTGAACTAAATTTATACTATACATATTTTAGCATATTATTAAGTTAGGGTATCTCCATTTTAATCATTTAGGAATTAAATGCTCTTCATCAAGGATGTGGAATAATACTGTGCTAAGCCTCTCATTGGTTGATTAAAGCTACTATTAGAGGTTCAAATTAATTTTAATTTTAACTGTGTATGCATACAACAGAATATTATTCATCCATAAAAATGAATAAAATTTTGATCTATGCTATACTGTTGATGAACCTTGAAAACATTCTAAGTAAAATAAAGTAGATACAAGGGGAAAATATTGTGTCACTTCCCCACATATGAGGTACCTAGAAAAGACATTCATAGGTATTGAAATAGAATGGAGATTACTAGCAACTGGAGGGAAGAGCGACAGGACAACTGTTGCTAAAGTCACTAAGACTGTATTTCAGGAATTTTACCTATAGTTCATTAATGAGTACAGTTACTGTTTGAGATGATGAAAAAGTTTTGGGAATGGATAGTGGTAATGATTATACAACATTGTGAATGTGCTTAATGCCACTGAATTGTACACTTAGAAATGGTTAAGGTAAGTTTTATGATACGTATATTTTACTGTAATAAGAAATATCAGTTATATCTATTTCATCTCTCATATTTACTCACTGTTGTCTGCATATGCTACTAATATTTATTTGTAAATATTTATTAGTGCTAGATATACTACTTTGTTTTCTCTTGTCAACATTGTTAGATATACGACTTTGTTTTCTCTTGTCAACATTTGAGTGTTGAATTTAAGATAATGCTAGCAATTAAAGTGAAGTTTTTAGAATTTCACCATTTGTTTTAGGAAAGTTAGAATTATTTTTTTAGTAGAACAGACAAAAATAATTTTTAACTTTAATATCCACATAGAAGGATCTTCAAAATGTTCATAGAAAGGCATATTATGAAAATAAATTAGTACTTTAATTTTATTTTTCCACAAAGTTTCTCTGTATATATATTTAGTAAACTAATTATTTTACATTTGAAAGACAGAACAAAGTACTTTGGAACTTTTTCCTCAGTGTAATAGAATTCTTGGAATGCTTAAGCTCTTGCCTAAAATACTGCATTTCTATTGAATTGGAAAGATATGTTCTTGAGTTACTTGTCAAATAATTTTAGTAAATTGGCTTTTCCATTGATTTCTAATAATTGAGTAGTGTTAGTAAATTGACTTAGGGTGATTTCTTGTTTTGTTTTTCTATTTGTTTTTACATTTATTTATTTCTTCTGTGAAAGAGATAAACACAGCATCCGCTAACAGGGTTCTGACACCACACTCTACACCCCAACCCTTGGACAGCCCTAGGTCATGGGCACATGTGTGCTCAACATACTTGGGGAAGTATCCTTACTTGAACCAGAAACCTTGCCATGTGGGATTGCCTCTCAGAATGTTGTGTTTTAGCCCCTGGCATTTTTTTAAAAAAAAAATTGTTTAAAGAAATAAGTTCTAGACCCAGCTGCAATAGTGTAATGCTTCCAATTCTGGAAGGCATATAGAAAATGAGGTTTTTAGTTCTTGGATTGACCTCTGCACACTGGATGTATGTGGGTGACCCGATCATTCTGTCTCATGACATGAGATCCCATTGAGGGTACTTTTCTAATCCCACATCCTCATCTTTCTCTTTATGAAAGAAAGAAACTTAAAAAGAAAAAGAAAGAAAGAAAAGTTTACAACAAATTATTTTCTTAGTTTTTTTTTTTTTTGTATGATAAAGTTTTCATTGTGGACATGGTAATTAAGGTGCCTAGATTCCACATGGCCAGCTGCACAGTTTGAGTCCCAAACCCAAGGGCTTGAAAAACTTGCTGGGCGTGTGTACACATGTGCCCAAAATCATGAGGAGAAAATGAAGGAGAGGGGATTGTGGTGTGGTCATCCCCTATAGGGGAGCTTTCTCAATGTCCCTCTTTCTCCTGCAAGCGCAAATACCATATAGTGAAGTTTAAAAAAAAAAGAGAAAGAAAGAAAAGTTTTTATGCTTTTACCCATCTGTCTTCTAAAATGTATATTCAATTGTTTTTCAGGTTGCAACAAGGACAGTGTCAGAGCAGGCTGTAAAAAATGTGGCTACCGTAAGTACACTAAAACATATTTTGAGCATTGCTCTTACTGGAGTCATTTCCTTTTTGGACAATATGATTTAGCATCCTGATTTGATACTCATTTAACACTAAGCTAAGGTTAACAGTTGATTTGGAAAATCTTCTCTTAGCCCTATATATTTTTTTTCACTTCTATAGATCAAGTGACAAGTAGTTATGTATCTGGTGTCTAGCAGACTTTGACTTTGACTATGATGGACAAAGCATATAATTTTAAAAGATATATCTGTACTCCTTTTCCTTCTAGATACTAGGTGAAGAGGGGAAGGCAGTATAAACTATTTTTGAATATTTTGTGTTTATTGAATTTATTTATTATCTTTTTAATGTATTTGTGTTTTCCATGAGAGAGAGAGACACAGAGACAGCACCTCCAATAGGGTCTTCATACCATAATCCACCCTAGTCTTAGTTGGCTCATTTTATGGGCACACACACATGGCATGCTCAGGGTTCTGATAAGATGTGAACCCAGGACTTTCACCATGTGGATCTAGCTTCATTATCACTGCACCACCACCTGGACCCTACTTACTGCGTTTTTTTTTTTTTTCCCCTGTTTTTTTTTTGTTTTTTTTTTTCAGGTTATTTTAACTTTTTTTTCCAAGAGGATTAATTTATTCCTAAGCAGGTTCAGTCAAGTTTTGGATTAACCTTCGTATCTTTTGCTGATTGAAATCTTTTTGTTTATGTATTTTATTTTTGATCATGCAATTAAGACTATTACTATGTACATGATTTCCAATCAAGAATATTACATTCTTGGGTCTGTTAAGTGCTTCTTTCCTTTGCCCCTCTTAACCCACCATCTACCGTCCATCCTCTCCCTTACAGACTCTGGTATGTACACATCACACTTCCTACAATCATGTTTTCAGATCTTCCAATTTCTGTCATAGAGCTCAGACATTCAATATATATTGAGTAGAGATGCATAGTATTTTTCTTTCAAAGTCTGGCTTACTTCACTTAGCAGTTGGTCTTCATAATTAACCACTTTAAGACAAATCACCATGTCTCATTATTCCTTATGGACAAATAATACTTTATACTTCATATGTGCCACAATTTTTCAACCTGGTCTTCAGATCTTGAGCGCTTAGGTTTATTCCATGTCTTTGCAATTATGAATAATGGCTATGATAAACATGGAGATACAAATGTCTCTCTGACAGAATGATTTCCTGTCCTTTCATTAAATCTCAAGAGTGGGGTACTGGGCTGAAGTTTTTTTTCTTTCAGGATTTCAAATATGTCTTATCATTCTTTCATTACCTGCTTTTTGCTGAAAGGTCCCAAGTTAATCTGACAGGATATCCTTTGTATGTAATTTGATACTTCTGTCTTGTCATTTTTAGAATATCAGGCTTGTATTTGACTGTGATGTGCCTTGGAGAAAATCTTATGTTGACTCTGGCGTTCTTTGTATTTCCTAGAGCTGGATCTCGCTCAAGGCTTGGAAAGTTTATGGATAGTATTTTATGAAATAGATTTTCTATGCCTTTTGATGTCTCAGGTTTCATGTATGTTGCCTTTTTTTTTTCTTCTGTCAGAGGTCATGTTCTTTCGTCAGACAGAAACAGAGAGACAGAGAGAAAGGGAGAAAGTAAAACCCAATTGGATGTGGTCACACCACAGTCCCTTCTCTATTTGCTCTTCCTCTTGGGATTTGGGGCATGTGTACACACTCATCCAGTGTGGTGTTAAAACCACCAGGACCAAGATTCAAACCATTCAGTCAGCCATGTGAGATTTGACTCCCTTAACCACTGGGCCATGTAGCCAGCTCTGTTTTTCTTCATTTATAATTATTGTTTTTTTCTTTCTTTTTGTAGCTGGGACCAAATTGTAAGTTGTGTTTTCAACCTCAAAGATTTTTTTTTTCCTCCATTGTCTAATCTGTTGATGATACTTTCTATAGAATTTTGTTTTGGTTTGGAAAGATTTTTGTTATAGGGCATGTGGACTTGTTGGAGAGACACAGAGAGACAGAAAGTGAGAAATCAATCCCCAAAGGGAATGGCCACAATGCAATCCCTTCTTTTCCGTTCTCCTCCTGGGATTTTGGGCATACGTCCACATGTTCCCAGCATGAGTTTTAAGACATTTGGTCTAGGAATCAAACTGTGGCTGACCACGTGAGAGTCCAGTGACATAATTGCTACACCATCTGCTGGTTCCTCTACAGAATTTATTTCTTATATAATATTCTTCCTCCAGAAGTTATTTGAGTCTTTTTTGTTTGTTTGTTTTGTTTTGTTTTTTGTTTTGCTATATGACATGTCTTCATCAGAGAAAAACAGAGAGCAACAGGTTGAAATGAGGGAGATGAGGAATCATTTCCCGGGGGAATGACCGCACCAAAATGCACCATTCTCTCAGAATTTTGAGCATTCCCTCTCATGTGCCAGCATCCTTTTTAAGACACTGAGTCCGGGCCTTGAGCCACACAGTTGGCCATGTGGATCGAACCTCCTAAACCATCATACCACCTGCTGGCTCTCTTTGCTTCTTTTTAAAGATATCTCCCTTTTTATAAAATTCCTAGGCCATCAAGGTTAATGTGCTAGGATCATTCTGCAGCCATCCCTGTTACCCCCCACCCAAGTCCATGGAAAAAATGTCTTCCACAAAACCAATCCCTGGTGCCAAAAAGGTTGGGTTTTGCTATCTTAGTAGGCCCCTATGTAGCTTCAGGACGAGTACTAGTTGCCAGAGGAACCAACCATGTAAATGAAACTTGCAGATAAGGTGCTGAAGATTGACTTCAATCACCAGTGGTCAATGATTTAATAAGTCATCTTTGTGCAACTTCCATAAAAATTCCAAAGCATCACAGTTCGTGCTGACCATGTATGCATGTATGCCCAAAATCTCAAGAGGTGACCGAAGGAGAAGGGATTGTGGCACGGCCATCCCCGGGGGTGGGCGGTGATTTATCATTTTCCCTCCTCTTCTCTTTCTCGCTCTTAGTCTTTCTCCAGTGATCTTACGTGCCTTACAACAAGTGAAGTCATAATAATAAACACACACACACACACACACACACACACACAATTCAGAGAGTTTCTGGGTTAGTGAACATATTGAGGCAGTCGGAGTGTTGTGCACCCAGAGAGGACATGGAAGCTCTGGGTCCTTTCCTCCACACTATGCCCTGTGTATGTCTTCCATTTCACTGTACCTGAGTTTTATGTTTTATAATAAACTAATAGTAGTAAACTATTCTCCTAAGTTTTCTGAGTTGTGGGAAACTCTTGACTTTATAGGGATTTATAGCTGTTCAGTCAGAAGTATGAGTAGTCCAATTTTGTGATTGGGGTCTGAAGTGGGGAGAGTTTTGTAAGCACTTAATGCACTAACTTCAGGTACTGTCAGAATTTAATTGAATTGCAGGACACCAAATTAGTGTCCAGAAAGTTGGAGAACTGACAGTGGGCATAGGAAAAGCCCATACGTTTGGTGTCAGAGTGTTGTTAATAGAAACACTTCAGACCATCCTAGTAGGTAAGAAGTGGTATCTCATCATGGATTTGCTTCGCATTTTCCTAATGACTAATGACCTTAAGCATCATTTCATGTGCTTCTTGGCTGTTAGTATTTCTTCTCTGGAAAAATATCTATTACAATTGTTTGCTCATTTTTTAACTGGGTTATCATTTTGTCATTGATTTGTAATTGTTCTTCCTATGTTGTGGATAGTAAACCCTATGAGATAAATAAATAATTAGTGAATATTGTCTCCCATTCTGTAAGTCATCTTTTCACTTTCCTGGTAATGTTCTTTGCAATGTATTTTACGGAATATCAAATGCAGTGACATAAGTTTTGTTTCAGTTTTTCTATTTTAGGTGTAAATATATGAGTACTCTTTTTTTTTAAAGAATTAGTTTATTTTGCATTTACTTATTTCTTTATTTAATTTTGACCAGAGAGGAACAGAGGGAGAAAGCAAGAGGAAAAGTAAGAAAGCAAGCCTTCAGGTCCAGAACTCGAACCACAGTCAGCCATGTGGGATTCCAGCATCCTTAACTATCATGCCACCTGCCATCCCCTATATGAGTACTCTTGGTCATATTGTTATTTTTATCATTATACAGTTGTGGTAAAAAATATTTGAAACTGCTGACCTTAGAGAAAACCCAGTGCATATGAACAAAGAGACATGAACAGCTGCTTATTTCACCATGTTTATAATAACAAAATACTAAAAGCAACATAAATTTCTGTTAGTAGTTTGATAAATAGATGCTTGTCATACAGTAGAACAGTATTAAATAAAATGAGAAAATTATATTAATACAGATAAATCACAAAACATATTGAGTAGCAGAAACAAATTACAGAATGTTAGCTGAGTTTATTTTTTAAAAATACATAATACAATATGTTGTTTGGGAAACGCGGACACCAACTTCAGTGTAATTATTTCTAAAGACAGAAAGAATGGGATTGGATTTTGGCAAGATTCCAAAGTTGTACAGGCTTTCCAATCTTTTGTGTGTATGTGTGCACATATGTGTGTGCACAAGCATGATGCACAAGCATTTTTCTTCAACGTTAATATGGAAAAATATTAACATGTGGATAAGGATTTAGGTATTGGTTATATTCTTTTCTGTACTATTGTGGCATTTGTAATATTTGACTTTTTTAAATTGTTACATAGTAAGCAAATAACTTATCATTTTCTTATCTGGAGAGTCTTTAAGCAAATAATTTCAGAATTAAAATTTTATATGTCCTTAAAAAAAGCACATGTCATTATATTATTAAGGCAATTTTAATTAGATGAAATTTGTGTAATTACATGAGTTCAGTAGTCAGGCTAAGAAGGAAAGGATATGAAATAATATATAAAATCTTAAGGATTGAGAATATATCTTTTAGTTATTTTGTTTAGTTTAGTTAGTTAAAAATATTACTGAGTTTTTAGAAAGGGAAAACACAGTTTTTCAATGCTCAGAAATCCATAAGGAATTGGCCCCCAAAATGCTTATTGAATTAGAAGTTCTGATAAAGGAAGGAGAAGATTTTGAGTATTGTATTTAGGGAAAATAACCAAACTACCACCAGCTGGATAAAAATGAAAGCTTTTGATGTTATATTTATATGTTTGTCACTTATTGCTTACCATGAGACAACAAAACAAAACAAAAATAACATATATCTATAGTTTTATCATCACCCTTTTTGTTTTTTACTTAGCTGGTCACCTGACTTTTGAATGCCGTAATTTTCTTCGTGTAGACCCCAAAAGGGACATAGTTTTGGATGTCAGTAGTACAAGCAGTGAAGACAGTGATGAGGAGAATGAAGAACTGAATAAATTGCAGGCATTACAGGAAAAAAGTAAGCAACACTTCTTTTATCTCCATTCTTTAAAAATGTTTCTCAATGTTCTGCTGTGCTGATATGCTTATCTATTACACATATCCTTAAGGTATCCTTTTTATGTTTTGCGTAAGAGCTACTACATAGAGAAGGAATTGGGATTTAATGTTGTAAGTAATAGTCTACTTTAAACTGATAATTTTACTCACATACAAAAATTACACTTTTACTCCTCCCACATACATTTTGTGTTATTCGTGTCACAATTTATATCTTTATATTGTGTACCTGTTAACTAGTTAATTATTGTACTTAGAGTTTATTTGTTTCTTTAGTTTACCAGTGAGCACATGCACTTGCCAGAGGCAGAGAGGGAGAGAGAGAAAGCACCCCCAAGGGGATATGGTCGTGCCACAATACCTTCTCCTCAGTTTTTCCATCCTGTTGGGATTTTGGACACACACACACACACACACACACACACACCCCTAGTGATTTTCAAGCCACTAAGACCAAGAATCAAACTGTTTGGTCAGTCAGTTGGGATTTGGCTCCCATAACTACTAGACCACAGAGCCAGACCCTTATGATTATTTTAGTAGCCTTGTTTTTTTTAACTTTTCTACTAGAGTCGAAAGTGATTTATGTACCACTGTTACAATATTATTCTGTATTTGCCCATATATTTACCTTAACCAATGAATTTTATACTTTCCTCTAGCTGCTTTCAAAATTTCTTTCTGTTTGGATTTTTTGACAGTTTGATTATAAAGTGTTTTTGTGCAAACCTCTTTAGGTTCATTTTACCTGTTATTCTTTGGGCTTCTTAAATCTAGATGTCCATTCCCTCCTCAGATTTGGGAAATTTTCAGCCATTATTTGTTTAAATAATCTTTACTCCTTTATTTATGTTCTTCTTGGAGTCACAAAATTCCTTCAAGCTTTCTTTATTCCTTGTTATTATTCTTGCTTTCACTCATCTGACTGGATAAGTTCAAATGTCTTGTCAAATTTGCGAGTTCTTTTTTCTGCTTAATTAAGTATGCTGTTGAACCCCTCTTGTGAGTTCTTTTCAGCTTATTGTATCCTTCAGTTTCAGAGTTTCTGTTGGGTTGTTTATTGTTTTTGTTTTGTTTTATTTTTAAATCTGTTAACATTTTCATTCTTTACACGTATTACTTTCCTGATTTCATTTGTCTATCAGTGTGCCTTGTTAACTCAAAGAGCTTCAAGACAATTAATTTGATTTTTTTGTCAGGCAATTCTTGAATCTCTATTTCTTTAAAATCAGTTACTACAGATTTCTTTTCTTGATTGTGTCATCTTTTCTTGATTCTTCATGCTCCTTGTGCATTTGTGTCTATACATTTGAAGAAAAAGTGCCCTTTTCCAGGCTCACAGAGCAGCCAGCTACAAGAGGATGCCTGTCTCTTTTCTTTTCCTCCTATCAGTCCTGAATGTCTAGACTTCCAGTGTTCCAGTATTTGGTATGAAATAAGATGTGTTGGCCCCTCAGGAAACATACCAAACAGCCAGAAGACCTGCTACTCCAGCCACTCTACCCTCCATAGGAGAAGTCTCAGCTGAGGCAATCTTCTTGGGTCTGAGATGACACAGGCGGTGTGACTGTGCTTTCAGTTAAAAGTATGGTTCAGTTTTTCTCAGCTTTTTGCTTGTGCAGAGTGCTTCAATTTCTTAACTGGATTTTGAGTTGCTTCTAAAGATTTTTAGGTCTCAATATTGTTATATTGGTGTTTCTGCAGAGAACCACCTGCCAACTCCACCATCCTGCTGATGTCACCCACCCATGGCATATTTTCCAATGTTTATTTAAAACACACAGACAAAAGTAGTCTAAATGATAAATAGAATCAATTATTGATGCAAATTACTGTCTAATCATACTGGGGCCTGAACAGCTAGCCCTAAAAAGTTGTGTCACCAGTGCTATAAATAGGGAAAAACCAGGGAACCAGCAGTTAGCGTAATGGCTATGTCGCTGGATTCCCACGTAGTCGACCGCGGTTCACGTCCCGGACCCGGTGGCTTAGAACTCACGCTGGGCGCGTGTGCGTGCGTGCCCAAGATCCCGAGAGGAGAATGGAGGAGAAGGGATTGCGGCGTGACCATCCCCCCTGGGGGGTGATTTCTCGCTTTCTGTCCCTATGTCTCTCTCTGTCTGTTGGGCGAGCGCACGCGCCCTATAGTGAAAAAAAAAAAAAAAACCAAACAGTACACAGCAAGGATTTTAAGTGCTTGTTGACACACTGTGTGTGTTTTTGTTTGTCCATGTCTATGTACACGAGCATGCTTACACTACAGTAACAATGAAATATTTCAGGAAGATTGTTAAGGTTTTATACTGTGTTTTGAATTGCCCTAAGAAAATTGCCTTTGTAATTTCAAGTGGTAGTAACAAATGTCTGAGGATACATTCATGTTACAATATGGATAAAGTCAATGTAAATGAATTGTTTTATTTATAAAAGACCTAGGAAATTCAAGAGTATTTTTTTCTCTCATTTTATTTTACCTATTGTTATTTAAGATTAATTAGCAGGTTGCCTACACATTAAGAGGTAGTCCTTTCTTCATATCTTATTCTTTGATATATTACAGTATTGTTTTAGTTCAGGCCAGAAGAGAACTGTTATAATTTGACATATTTAGGAGATTTTTGTTTTGTTTAAGGATTTCATATGAAAATTATACTTCATTTTACTTAAATATGGTTGACTTGATGGGCCAGCAGGTGGGAGGTTAAGGCTCTGGATCCCACATGGCTGACTATGCAGTTTGCATCCCATACCTAGTGGCTTGAATATCAGGCTGGATACATGTACACGTGTGCCCAAAATCCTGAGAAGAGACTGAAGAAGTTGTTGCAGTGTGGCCATCCCCCCCCGGGGGGGGGGTGTTTGCTTACTTTCTCTCTCCTTCTCTCCCTTTGTCTCTCTGGTGAGCACATGGGCACCCTATAGCAAAACTAATAATAATAAATAATAATAATAAATAAGATAATTAACATTCAAACCTATGAGTAAATTTCAAATCAGGTATTTACATATTTTCTTAATTCTATTTTCATCTTTAGTAACTGCTTGCTTTAGATTCAGTGACTTACAATGAATGACTTACAATGATGGTTTGAAGCTTCATAAAGATAGGGCTTAGTGAATCCACAGTATTATTGAAGTAAAACCTATATTTGGCTCAAAGTATACTTTTTGTAAGATACCTACAATATATATTTATACAGTGATTGACTGGAAGACAAAAGAGGGAATGAGAAATTTAGATTAATAAATGTATGTTTAGGGTACCAGCAGTTGGCGAAATGGGTATGTCGTTGGCTACTACTCCCATGTAGTCGACTACGGTTCGAGTCCTGTAACCGGTGACTTAAACTCACGCCAGGCGTGTGTGCATGCGTGCCCCAGATCCTGAGAGGAGAATGGAGGAGAAGGGATTGTGTCGTAGTCATCCCCCCTGGGGGGTGACTTCTCAATTTCTATCTCTCTGTTTGACGAGTGCACGCACCCTATAGCAAAAACCTCTCAATAAATAAATAAATAAATGTATATTTAGAACTGCCTGGTTAGGATTAAAAAACAGCTGCCATGGCTACAAACCTGGTGACAGGCCTAGAAACGAAGATCTAATAGTGGAGCCTTCTGGTGCTGCTAGAGAATGAGTCTTCCGTACCATCTCAAACCTGTCTCTAAGTCGTGAGCTTCGACTGCTCTGTACGTTACACAGTAATCCATCACTGGTTGCTTATTATTATTACACAAAAGTTAAATGCTAAAGTACTTATGGTTTCCTTGCCTTCCATTTTGTCCTCCTAAGATTGGTTGTGTTATATTCCAAGAGCTCACTGTGTTGGAGAAACTCGGTGTCTATCCTACGTCGGTGTACACCTCAGTATCCTGTCTCAGAAGGAATCTGAATGAATAGAAGTTGGATGGTTATGAGAGCTTCTAGTAGTACAGAAACACTGAATGATCAAAATTAAACTTTTGTCTTCAGTACTTGAATTTTTATACTCCATTATAGTTGGTACTGCAAGTTCCTAAAGGGAGGAATAAAATTTTGTAGTCTGTGACTATTTTGTTATATTCAAACTAATTTCTCTATATAATCTAATAATCTAATAACATCATCTCTAAATAAAAAAGGAAATTATTCTCATAGCTATTGTTTTATTTACTTATTTTCTCATAACTTTGTGACATGTTTATAGTACTTGTTCTTAAAATTATCGTAACTAAAAAAAAAAAAAAAAAAAAAACAGCTACTCGCCCAAAGAGCTAACTAAATATTACTATTTTAATGTCAGACCAAGTATATTTCAAAATAAATAATATTACCAGAAATGGAATTTTTCATAATGATAAAAGGGTTACTTAGTGAAGAGAACATAGAAATTCTGTTATTATGTACCTAATAGCAAAGTTTAAAATACATGAAACAAACACTGGTGGAACTAAAAGGAAAAATCCTTATGCATAGACAGCACCACAATCAGAGTTTTCAAAACACCAGTCTCAATTATTAGTGGCACATTGTAGATAGCGAATCAGTAAGGATATAGAAAAATTCAGTCAACCAACTTGACTTTACATTTATACAACACCCCATCCAACAATAATAGAATGCACATTTTTTTTCCAAGTTCACATAGATCGTACACCAACATGGTGACCTAATTTTTCCTTCTTACTGCTCTCCCACAGGAATAAATGAAGAAGAGGAGAAGAAAAGAGAAAAAAGCAAAGAGAGAATCAAATTGAAGAAAAAAAGGAAAAGGTATTTTTAGTGGCATTTTTTAAAAGTGGCACTCTGAGTCTAGGATGTATTAAACAATTTTATTTTTATGTATAATCCAGTTAATTTAATATTTTTTTTCTTAATGGAAATTAAGTGTTCAGTTTTAGTAAAATAGTGAAGTCCTGGGACCAGCAGTTAGCGTAATGGCTATGTCACTGAACTCCCATGTAGCCAACCGCAGTTTGAGTCCTGGACCCAGTGGCTTAAACTTATGCTGGGCACATGTGCATGCATGCCCAGAATCCCGAGAGGAGAATGGAGGAGAAGGGATTGTAGCGTGGCCATCCTCCTGGGGAGTGGGATTTCTCGCTTTCTGTCTCTCTGTCTCTCTCTGTCTTTCTGGCAAGTACATGTGCCCTGTAGCAAAAATCTCTCTCTAAAAAAATAAATAAATAGTGAAGTCCTTCATATTTGAAATCAAAGATAAAGTCAATACTCAGCCACCTTAAGTTTTCTTTTTAGAACACCAAGGTATAATCAAGGACTAAATAAGTAACAGCCCTCTCTTTTTTTAATGTGTTGTGTATGTATTTTAGATTTTTCATTTTTAGAACAACAGTTAAGCCTTGATTTGGACATGCATCTAAACTTATGTATATTTTATTCTCATATATATAAATTTGTATTTTTGAAATATCACTGCCATAGCCAAGAAATTAATTTGTTAATAAGATTTATTAGAACATGCTAAAAATTCTTTTAGGTCTTTTAGTACTCCCATTAGCCACTTGTGATTTTTATTATTGACTCTTTTACCAACTAACTGGTTAAAGAAATTGATCAAAAGTAGTAAGAAGCAACTTCCTCCTTTCTTTATTTTATAAAAGAATTATTCATTTAATTTAATATATTTATTTATTTTAATTTTTGACCAGAGAGAGAGAGAAAGGGAGAAAACAAGCTGCCAGGTCCAGAACTCAGACCATGGTTGGCTATGTGAAGTCCAGCAGCCTAACCATCACAGCACCTGTCAGCCTTCCTCCTTTCCTAATGAGGGCAGCTTCATTTGTACTGTGATAGATATGCACATGCAGACAGTGTTTAAGGAAGTTGGCCGTAGCTTTGTCTGATTTGGACCCAGTTCTCTCACAAAATAGTTCTGTAAGATATTGTCATTTTCTAATTTTTATAGAGCATTTAATACATACATTTTAGTACCTCAGATAGATTATAAATTGGTAAAGTTAGCTCATTCCCATGTATTAGAAGTTAAGTCTTTTAATATAAAAACTAAAAGGAATGCAGAGTTCAGGATTTCTGATTAGTGTATAATTGAGTTGTTTGTGCTCGTACACGGTGGATTGTTTATAGGAAACATAAGATTGTCTACTGTCTTCTAAATTTCCCTGTGAAATTTTTGCTATAGGGTGTGTGTGCTTGCTGGAGAGACAGAGAGACAGAAAGCAAGATATCACCCCTTGGAGGGATGGCCATACCCCAATCCTTTCTCCTTCATTCTCTTTTCAGGATTTTGGGCACACAAGCGCATGTGCCTGCGTGAGTTTCAAGCCACCAGGAGGTCGGCTGCTTTGGAGTTCAGTGACATAGCTGTTACGCCATCTGCTAGTCCCCCAAATTCTAATATACTTGTTTAGTAACAGATTACTTGTTCAGGCCACTCTACTTTTAGCCTCACAGACCCTAGACAGGACTGGAAATTTCTATGCACACTTAGTAGAGATGGTGGCATCTGACAGTGTCTCTCTGCCAAAGCCTTGAAAGTTTGCCTTACAAATGAGAATCTAGGACCAAAAAGTTGACCAGAGAGAGAGAGAAAGGGAGAAAACAAGCTGCCAGGTCCAGAACTCAGACCATGGTTGGCTATGTGAAGTCCAGCAGCCTAACCATCACAGCACCTGTCAGCCTTCCTCCTTTCCTAATGAGGGCAGCTTCATTTGTACTGTGATAGATATGCACATGCAGACAGTGTTTAAGGAAGTTGGCCGTAGCTTTGTCTGATTTGGACCCAGTTCTCTCACAAAATAGTTCTGTAAGATATTGTCATTTTCTAATTTTTATAGAGCATTTAATACATACATTTTAGTACCTCAGATAGATTATAAATTGGTAAAGTTAGCTCATTCCCATGTATTAGAAGTTAAGTCTTTTAATATAAAAACTAAAAGGAATGCAGAGTTCAGGATTTCTGATTAGTGTATAATTGAGTTGTTTGTGCTCGTACACGGTGGATTGTTTATAGGAAACATAAGATTGTCTACTGTCTTCTAAATTTCCCTGTGAAATTTTTGCTATAGGGTGTGTGTGCTTGCTGGAGAGACAGAGAGACAGAAAGCAAGATATCACCCCTTGGAGGGATGGCCATACCCCAATCCTTTCTCCTTCATTCTCTTTTCAGGATTTTGGGCACACAAGCGCATGTGCCTGCGTGAGTTTCAAGCCACCAGGAGGTCGGCTGCTTTGGAGTTCAGTGACATAGCTGTTACGCCATCTGCTAGTCCCCCAAATTCTAATATACTTGTTTAGTAACAGATTACTTGTTCAGGCCACTCTACTTTTAGCCTCACAGACCCTAGACAGGACTGGAAATTTCTATGCACACTTAGTAGAGATGGTGGCATCTGACAGTGTCTCTCTGCCAAAGCCTTGAAAGTTTGCCTTACAAATGAGAATCTAGGACCAAAAAGCTAGGAAATTTCAGGCAGAGAAACTAGTCAAAATGCAGAGGTCAAGTCAAGCTGAGTCTTAAAACAGGAAAGCAAACAAGGTTTAGGATAACAACCGAAGAGGGAGCCAGAGAAGCCCTGAGAAGAGCTGAGCAGATGGCCGGAAGTCTATGAGCAGACAGATGAAGAGAAAGGGACGCACCAGGACGGACATGAGGAGAACTCAGTCACTCAGTGGGGAAGGCCGTCCAGGAATTCATGCTGGTGTCTGTGTAGACATAAGACAGCCTTGAAGCCTTCTTGCTTTTACAGTTACTTGTGTTCCTTCCTTAGTCTGTCTCAGGTTTTCTTAGTTTGAGTTTTAAGTCCTAACATGTAAATCACTAACTCTTGAGAATCCTTTCTTTTTTTTTTTTTTGGAGAGGTTTTTGCTATAAGGGCGAGTGTGCTCGCCAGAAAGACAGAGAGATAGAAAGTAACAAATCACCCCTCAGGGGGCATGTCCACACCGCAATCCTTTCTCCTCCATTCTCCTCTTGGGATCTTGGGCACGCACACACACTCGCCTGGCGTGAGTTTAAGCCACCAGGTCTGGGACTCGAACCGCGATTGACTACATGGGAGTCCAGCAACGTAGCCATTACACTAACTGCTGGTCCCAAGAATTCTTTCTATTTTAAGTAAACTCAGTTTCTGTCTTATTACAATGTTTTAGGTTTGGGTATATAGGTAGAATGCTGTATATCTCTTTATATAAGATCTTAAAAAGAAACTTCTACTTTTTAATTTCCTTTTTTTAATATTAGAGGAAGGAATTCTGTTGGGTTGTCAGGAAAGTCATGTTGCATTTTTTCATGTTTTTCTACACAGGAATGCATCATGACTTTTTCAATGACCCAATATATTTTTTTTCTAATTCAGCATTAGAGTAATATTAAAATAATAAAATATAATAAATCATCCTCATTCATTTCATACAGAATATTCATTTTAAAACATCCCTCTGTAACTAACAAAATTTATTTTTAATGCAAATCTTCATCCATTTTACTCTGCATCTAAAGGGATCAAGTACTTTAACTTGAAAAATCAAAAGAATTAACAAAAGTGCTTTTATTTTGCTAATTTTCAGCTTTCATCCATTTATACTGAGGTACAGTTACACCCCTTAAATGTATAATTGGATTCTTTTGTTGCTCATCTGAAAGAATATGCTAACAAGTTATTATGTATACAAGTAGGTTCATACACATGAATTGTATATATAATGAGACTTGGTGAATGCCACGTTGTTTGCCTTATGAAATTTTGAAGAGTCAGACAGCATGAAAAACTGAAAATCACACATACAAAAAATAATTGCATCCTTACTGAATTTAAAAGTCATTACTAGAGTTAGGCAGAATAGAGACAGTTTTGTCAGTTTCTGTGACAAAGTAGCAAAAATGCTGATTTCAGCATGTTAAGAGAATATAAATACATGAAGCATATTTTAAGTTTCTTTATGTTCATACCCCCACCTCACTTCAGAAAGACTCTAAGGCAGATCAAATTCCATTTAAACCTACCTATCAATCATCAATATGATTACCAGTCAATATGTATTATTACTCATAGGTCCTATTCATCCAGTTCCACTGAAGAGGACACTTCAAAACAAAAGAAACAAAAATATCAGAAGAAAGAAAAGAAAAAGGAAAAAAAGAATAAATCAAAAAAAGGGAAACATCACAAAAAGGAAAAAAAGAAGAGGAAAAAGGAAAAGCATTCTTCTACCCCTAATAGCTCTGAATTCTCCAGAAAGTAACTGAGACTTTGGCCTGAGCCACTGCTTTTAAAATTTTGTTCTGAAAAATTATTGCCCTTCCTTGGAATTCGCTATATAATTATGCTTTGCAATAAATCACAGCCTTTTCTATATAGACCTATGTCATACGTGAGACCATTATCCTTCCGACAATATATTTTTAACGTGCTCTAAGTATAAAGTATTAAATCAGTGTTCTTACTTAATAGCCAAATCCCAAGTACAGATGTTTATACACACAAAAAACATTTCTAAAAAGTATGATTTCTGTTTTATATACATTTGATGTAAATATTTGTGGGGTACAGTATGGTTTCTAAAAGCATCCATTCAGTGTATAGTAATCATTTTTGGTATTCATGTCTCTGTGTATTTGGCTAATGTCATTACTTCATAAACTGATTGTAAAATGACTTTACTACAGTCAACACATGTAATCTACCCAGCACTTCATGAATATTGCTGAATCGAGTGTCCACCTTCCAGTGATGGAGCTAGGTAGGGGTAATACTTTGCTCTTGACACTGAAAGCTTAATAGCTTTTTTAGATACTATGATGTAATAGAAAAGATAGTGAAAGTCTTCACTCTGGTTTCTGTTTCTCTAGGCTTTTTTAATATCACAGCAAATGAAGCTGCTTTATTGATCTTAACTAGGACTTTTTCAATGAATGATATCTGTGGGAAGATGATAATGAAAATATTTATGAGAAAATTTCATTGTTTATTGAAATGCATAGTTTCTAGTACCTCACTCTTTGATTTTGTAACAATTAAAACATTTTTTTCCTTGTTTAAAGAGACAAATCTAGTTCACCCTACTAGTCTCACAAGATAATGTTATGTTGATCAGGATTAGAAGAGGCTCCTGGGTTTTACAAATGTGCCATATTGGCATGTCTTAAAGTGATACCTCACACACAGGGATTTTTATTTAGGAAGACAGATAAATCTTCATTAGAACTTATATTTATTGTAATCAGTATATAAAGTTAATAAAGTTTGTATGGATAACAGGGAAATTTTTTTATAAGTGTGAGCATATATTTTGCTTGGAATAATTTGTAGTTTTGCCATAGGGTGAGCGCCACCACGACCCTGGAATAATTAGTAGTTTTGAAGCAAGTTTCACAGTGAACTTATTGGCTTCATAAAACAACTAATTTGACGAGTTTCTCCACTTCACTTTAGTCTCAAACCTCAGGAACAGTGACAAAAATTTAGAATTAATAATTTCCTAATTTCCTTCTGGGGACCAGCAGTTAGCGTAATGGCTATGTCACTGAACTCCCATGTAGTTGACCACAGTTCGAGTCTCAGACCTGGTGGCTTAAACTCATGCCGGGCACGTGTGTGTACGTGCCCAAGATCCCAAGAGGAGAATGGAGGAGAAGGGATTGTGGTGTGGCCATCCCCCCTAGGGGGTGATTTCTCATTTTCTATCTCTCTGTCTCTCTCTGTCTTTCTGGCGAGCACACGCACCCTATAGCAAAAACCTCTTCAAAAAAAAAAAAAAAAGGAATTTTCTTCTGTACTTTCATAAAGTTAAGAGCCAGGGAATTGCATCATGAAAGCCTTTATGTAACAATGAAAATTTTATATAGGTAAACATTTTCAAATACATATTATTAGATATAACTGTTTCTTACTTTTTAAATTTCACAATGATCAATGCTATTTTACCTAATACTGAGGTGTTTTATGCCTGATATGTTATATACTTACGTTGTAGCAGCATCAGAAGTCAATTGATGATAGCTGCACAGCACCAGAGATTATAGATGCTGCCTATAAAAGGATGACCTCATCTCGTGGAGTGTGTAATATGGCTAAAAATTATAGCAATTGTAGTGAAGCAGCTAATCAAGTATACCTCACTGTGGTGCACTTACAAATTTTCACATTGGTAACCTGCAGGCATGGCTGCAAGCTGATGCAGGATGGTAAAATCAGTTGAGTACACTTAACCTCGCTTAACTTACTGTTTCATTTGTATTTTTGTGTGTGTTTTGTTTTTCACCCAGCTGGTATGCTCTGCCCTCAGTGAGAGTCAGTAACTTTCATAACTCCTCTTAAAATACCCTTGAAAACCCACCAGGCACATGTACATACCAAAAATCTCAACAGGCTGGAGAAATGGAGAAGGAATTGCATTATGACCATGCCCTGTTGGGGGGTGATTTCGCCCTCTCCTTCTCTCTGTGCCTTCTGTGGCAAGAGATAGCGCCCCCTGGCAAATTCAATCAATAAGTAAATAATTTATGGTTGTTGGGAAAGAAATATAAAGCAATTTATTATACTGGGTCTTTAAGGGTTCATTTTGTCTTTGCTACTGATTTTAAGAAAATACAGTTTGTTGATTATCAAAATTTACAAAACAAAAAATAACAAAGCTTTAAAAAAAATTATTGGAAGATGCTACCTATAAAAGAATGACCTCATCTCACTGAGTGTGTAATATAGCTAAAAATTATAGCAATTGTAGTGAAGCAGCTAATCAAGTTATTTGTAAATTATCTGTTTATCATAGAGATTATAAATTGGCTCATTAGGTTTGTTTTCTGAATGGTGACACAATTTATAATGATTTGGAAGAGTTATATGAAAGTCAGCCCTCATTAATATAGTATGCAAATTAAAAGATTTTAATGGTCATAATTTTTACCATAGAAATTATCTTGCAATTATTTTTAAGTAAATGTTCCATAATATTAGCATCATTTATGAAATATCTCATCTGAGAAAATAATTCCTTTTTAGTAAAGTCATTTTTTTCTATAATGATATTATCAAAATTGGATGTCAATCTCACTAATACATTTTAGGAGAAGATTGATGAAATTTCCTTCCAGGTGTATGTAGCAAAATGAAAACTGAATTGAGTAGTGAAAATCCAAAAGTCCTAGCCACTCTACCTACCTATATGACCTTCTACAAAGTTATTTAGCTTCTTTAGGTATCTTTAATCTGTAAAATATTATACAGATTATCTTTGAGATCACTTCCAGTCTTTATGTATATGATAAACATTTTATAAAATTTAAGTAATATATATTTTAGAAGTTTGTAAATAAGTAGCTAGCACTCTATAATAGTAAAGATGGAATTTATTAAGACAGCTATTAAACACATTGAACTCCTTTAAGCAGATAGTGGATATTGGGTTTACACTGTTACCATCCAATGTGTGTAATTTTCACCAGAGGTAGTTATATTTAGATTTCCATCCGTAACCAGACTATATGAACAGTTTAAGGCTATTGGTTTGGAGCTGATGGACTGATATCCCACACAGTTTTCCTATTTGTTTTTTCCATATCATCTGGCTAAAATCTCTTGTAGGTATCCCTAGTTCATCATACTTCATATATCTCCATTTATATCTATGGTTCTCTGAAGCTATAGCATCAATAATAAAATGTAAACTTGTATATGTCTGTATTTACTATTCACCGTAACACTGTATAACTCCATGTCACCTTCAGTAGTAAACCAGGCTGAAGAGTTACTAACATTCACTAAAATGCCATTGAGTCTTTTCTACAACAAACATTTATGGCTACTTAGAAATTACTTAGTAATTCCTAGAATTATTTAGAATGGCCAACACTGTTAGTATTGGGGATACAGAGATAGACTCATTTGGGCCAGCTCATTCATTGGCCTAGTGGTTAAGGAAGCCAGATCCCACATGGCCATTCTATAGCTGGAATCCTGGCCCTGGCAGCTTGAAAAATGTGCCAGGTGCATATACAAGCATGTCCCAAATCCCAAAAGAATGGAGAAATATAGGATAAGAGATTGGGGTGAGACCATGCCCTACCGGGAGTGTTTTCTTCCTCTGGCTAGAATGCACATCTGACAATTAAAAAAGTAATAATAAGACTTACTTGCCTGCTAAGAGGAGTTCACAGTTTTTTGACAGGATAAACACTAGAACACACCATTAAATAATAAGTGCAGTAATTGACTGGAGTGTGAATTTACTAAAACACATCTAACCTAGTCTAGAGACATTAAAAGGAGATCACTTAGAGAAAGAAATCCCTGAGTTGCATTTTGAACCTGAAAAAGAGTGGGGATTGTGGCAGTTCCTGAGTAAGGTAAACAAAGATCCTATGCAGGAAAAGCTGTTATGTTTATGACATGAATTATAAGCAATCTGATGTCGCCAGAATGTCATTTGTGAGGCAAGAAGTGATAAGAATTGAAATTATCATTTTAAGTTTTTGTGAATAAGAGAAAAAGGTCCTATGATCCGTGTTTGGGACTTGGACCTTAATCTGTAGGCAGCGAGACAGCGATAAATAGCTTAAGAAAGAAAATGACTTTCATTGGGGTTTGGTTTTATTATTTTCGTAACTAGATTAATTCCCAATTTCTAAAATAAAGTTCTTCTCATTAGCAGGCAAATAGAGAAAATAATTTGATTCTTTTTTGCTCTATTATTTTAGACCCACTTTTCTTTCTAAGATATTATTATCCAAAATCACACAATGACTTAAATGATCTGAAAACATGTAAAGCGATTGTATTCTTAACCAGAATTGTCTGTATGTGTACATACTTTAAAATGTGTTCTGTTTTGATTTTATTATTTTTGACCAGCTTAAATAACTTCTATCACTATGTTAGTATTTGCTTCAAGTCACTTAACATATATCTTTTAATATACAGATTATACTGTCATTTGATAGGACTTCTTGCTTTTAATATTTTGTCTTCATCTGTGAAGCACAACTGATTCAGAGTTGCAGAGAGGCCTGCCAGTCGTCCCACCTGATGAGCCCTGTGACTCTTGCTAGGTAACCAGGCTGTAAGCCAGCTCAGCAGGCAGCACTTCAAGGACTCCAGCTGATCTAGTGACTCAAGTTTCCTGGACAGTTGGCATCCAAGAACAGTATATTTCTTTTCTTCTTTTTTTTTTTAAGAGATTTTTGCAGAACCAGCAGATGGCATAGTGGTTACATTGCTGGACTCCCATACAGTGAACTGCAGTTCAAGTCCCAGACCCTGAAGCTTCAAACTCACAACGGGCACCTGTGCATTCCTTCCCAAAATCTCGAGAGGAAAATGGAGGAGAAGAGATTGTGGTGTGGCCATCCCCTGTAGGGGGGTGACTTTCCTTCTCTGCTTCTCTCTGTCTCACTGGCAAACCCACACATCCTGTAGTAAAAATTTCTCGAGCCACGGTCAGCTGTGTGAGACTCCAGTGACATAACCATTACCCCGTCTGCTGGTTCCAAGAACAGTATGTGTCTCATGCCAGTATGACAGCCTCGGCTGTGAAGCCCAGGGTCTCTGGCCTCAGTAATCTCCCAACTGCTCCAAAAATAGGCGGTTGGCAGAGAATTGGAATGCCTATTCCAGAGCACAACCCGTGACGCGTCCAGGCTTGCCAGCCCCTGGTGTACCTCTCCCACAGGCTGGGAGGGATCTAGAGAGCAGTGAGCATTTTGCTCACCATGGAGTCCAAGCATCTTGTGTCCTTTATGGCATGTGCCCCTGCCTTTCAGCAGCACAAGCAGAACTGTACCAGTGCCCACCTAAACTTTCTCAGCCTACATTTTCACCGGAGGCAATGTAATAATGTAATTGTTAACTCCAATGTATCAACACAGCGAATTTTCTTTTCTTTTCTTTTTTTTTTATGAAAGCTATATAAAAGATTAAAAAGTACAAAAGCTTTATGAGCTTTCACAAAAATAAGTGGAAACTCTTTCCTTTTATGACCACATAAAATGTCATATTTTATAATGCATATGTCTTCCAAACTTCATGTACACTTGAAGCAATTTTAATTTTTAAACCTTGGCAAAACTGCTCTTTGTAAATGTGAAATTGAACTCAAGCAATAGGATGTTGCAGTAAAGATCTGAACTGTGCTGTCAATATAGCCTCATGTGGTTATTTAAATTAATTAAATAAATGAAATAAAATTCAACTTTTTTGTTGTGTTAACCACATTTCAAGAGTTCAGTAGCCATGTGTGGCTAGGAACTACCATGCCAGACAATGCCAAAAGAACATTTCTGTCATCACAGAAACTTCTCTTGAACAGTGCTGCTCTAGAAAATATCCATAGTTCTTGATAGAAATTTTGACCACCTAATGATAAAAAGTTTCTTTGCATGCTCAACAACAATTGGCTTTTTATATTTTAATGTATTAGATCCAAGAAGTTGGTCGGTGCATGGTTTGAAAAGTGTTTCTTCCAACTACAGAACTTGATACAAGGAAGTAGGTATGTTAAGCAAAACCAGCCTAAAATAATTCCTTTTCTTCCTGTTGGATTTCATTATAAAACTGGGTCTGTGTCCTTAGAAGTGAAATCACACTTACGGGTAAAAACCTTTTAAGTAATGATAGTTTGAAAAAACAAGTTTTTTCCTAAAAGTCTAGGTGGTATTAATATGATAGTATCAAGGGGCCGGCAGGTGGTATTGCGCTTAAGGCTCTGGACTCCCACATGACCGACCATGATTTTAGGCCTGGACCTGGAGGCCTGTTTTCCTACTTTCTTTTTTTATTTTTCCTCTCTCTCTCTGTTTCTCTGTGGTCAAATTAAAACAAATAATAATAATGATAATAAATGAGATAAAATAGTTATTTTTTTTAAAAAAAAAAAAGGTGATAGGATCAGGACCAGAAAACTTGATTCTTTAGGAAAGTTACCAGTTAAGGATTTTAGTTGTGGTTATCTGTAAAAAGAAAAAACACAGAAAATATTCATCGTACAAATTATACATTGCAGGTTTTTTGTTGTTGAATATTAGCTTTTCTAAAGGCAATATATTGACTGTGTGCCCAGCAAATTCTACAAAAAAACATGGATTCTTTTCTAAGAAACCAAGGAACGTGTGACATCTGATTTCTAGGACAATTTTCCCTGAGCCTTACCTATCCAGTATTATTTCTAATGTAATTAATTACCTGTAAGTGTCAAAATTGTGAAATGCTGGGTAATATGCCAGACTTTTTATTGTTCTTGAAATAAGTTGCTTATCCATATTATAATAAATTATTTAATTTCTCATAAAGAATTTGCATAATTTCTTGTAATCCAGAAACACCTTAATTAGCAAATAAAAGTCAACTATGTGTTTGAAAAATCTATCCAAAACCTTAGTGGGTATTTAATAAAGTAATTGAATGGTTGAAAATGCGACTGTGTCTTGCTTTGTGAGTGGCAAATTTTTGAAAAGCAGAATTATGAATTGTGTTTAAAATGCATTCTTTATTTTTATTGCTCTCCCTCTCCAGTGAGCTTTTAAAGTACAGGATTTTTCATTAATAAGGAATGTTGATTTGTGTTGTGTCCATTGTTTTTTCTTGAATTATATCATCAGCTTCATAGGATGTTTCATTGGATGAGTTTGATGCTGCACTTGAATTGAGGGCTTTGGTTTCTCTATTCGAGTTGCCTGCAAATACACAAAACAAAATTAAATCATTATTAAAAATTGTGATGTAAAACTGGACTTTTAGAAATTTGTGCTTAAAATAATTTTGGAGGAATATTGAAACTGTATCCTGAAAATATTTTGTGAATTAGAAAGAATTGAGCCATTCCAAAGTTGTTTTTGTGCATTTCATCCTAAAAGTTAAAAAAGTAAAATACTTAGTAACAGAAGTAAAAGTTTTATTTCCATGCTTACATGAGGATAATACATATTTTTTAGGAAGGTAAAAATTTCAGGGTCAATAAAAGTGTGACTATTTGTATATTGTGTGTAAAGTTAATAAACCCACTAAAATCCATTATAATAATCTGTAACAATTATAAGGCATTGCCATCGTAACCAGTTTGGATGTGATTTTCAAAAAGATCACATTTGTGCAACAATTCCATTCACGCACTACATTGTAAATATGAGTCCAAAATGAGCAAGAGTAAAGGAATATGGATCTTTATTCCTCAAGAGTTAGACTAATAGGGCCGAATGGAGGCTGACCCACATAGGAAAGTTCCAAGACTGTGCCAGGAAGCCTCTCCTACACTGGGCATCCCCAAGCCCATGATGTAGAGTTGACTGCACCTGGGGACGCATCATAGCATCAGAACACTGTCTCTCTGTTTCTCTCTCTTGCTCATGAGATAAATCTGGCTAAATTGAAGGAGAAGAAATAAAAAATTAAATCTTTTTTTTTTTTTGGAGATATTTTTTGCTAAAGGGTATGTGCACTCACCAGAAAGACAGAGACAGAGACAGAAAGTGAGAAATCACCCCCCAGGGGGTATAGCCATGCCACAATCCCCTCTCCTCCACTCTCCTCTTGGGATCTTGGGTACACATGCACATGCGCCCAGTGTGAGTTTAAGCCACCGGATCTAGGACTCGAACCGCGGTCGACTACATGGGAGTCCAGCAACATAGCCATTACACCAACTGCTGGTCCCAAAAATTAAATCTCTTTTTTAAAAGTTAGGTTAATTTATAGCAAAAAGTGCATTATTAATAGTGTTAGAAAAGTTCAGTAATTGTGAAACTAATGTATCGTATTTTATCAGTATGTAAAATGTCAGAATTATTTAAATAACATAGATATGAAAAAAGTTTGGAAAAGATGATGGATATCAGTAATAGCCTCCATGTTGAAAACCTCCATTCCAGTTCATCCTCACCTTATTAGCTCTCAGCAACCTCACCCTACTTCCCTGTTCATCCTTCTCATCTCTCCTGTTGCTCCCTTTTCTTTTCCCAGGACTTGTAGATTTAGTGCTGCCGCAGGGCTCAGCCCTTGATTGCTGATGCTGTCTCACTCCCCAACTAAATTAGTTGAATTCATGTCAGCTTTTAATTCCTTCTCTAGAAGACCAGAACTCTTCTAAACTCCAAACTCAACTTCCTAGTTGACATCTCCACTAGAATATTTAATCAGCATCTTCAGCCTAAATCTGAATTCTTCCCAGCGTTGGGGAAGGGGAAGCCTACTCCACTCACGGTCTTCCTCTTCTCAGCTGCTGATGACTACACGTCTCTGGTTGTTCAGGCCAAAGACCTTCAGTCATCTTTGATTCCTCTCTTTCCTCTCCTGTATTCAATCCAATAGAAATTCTGTTGCCTATATTTTTTAAAAGAGAGATTATTTTTGCTATAGGGCATGTGTGCTCACCAGAGAGACAAAGAGACAGAAAGCGGGAAATCACCCCCACCCCCAAGGGAGGATGGCCATGAGACAATCCATTCTCGGGATTTGGGGCATGCACGCGCATGCACCCAGAGTGAGTTTTCAGCCGCCAGGTCTGGGTTGACTATGTGTGAGTCCTGAAACAACCATTATGTCATCTGCTGGTCCCATGTTGCCTGTGGCATGAGAGGATGGGAGTTTAAATTGTTTTAAGTCTGAAATATCCCTACCCTGAATTCCACTTTAACATGAAATTCCCAAGGAAAACATCAAAGATCTAAAATTTATATACAAAGATTTTCTGGTTATTGTTATTATTTTAGTGAAAGGGCATATACACTCACTAGAGAGAAAAAGAGAGTGAAAGAGTGAAAACAGCTCCAAAGGGAATGGTTACAATCCCTCTTCCTCCATTTCTCCCTCTTGCTGGGATTTTAGGTACACATGGCTGCTATATTTTTCAAGCCATCAGGTCCAGGACTCAAACCTTGTAGTCAGCCCACCATCACACCACTGGCTGGCCCCACACTGGTTATTTTCAATACCAAAACACAAAAACATACATATATATATATACTCACATTTCCAATAATAGAATTGCAAAATAAATTATTATTCATGAGATATCATGTAGCCATTTAATTTTAAAAGATGGTTTCCAATAAAATTTTAGTTAAATGGTGAGCATTTAGAATATAATGTCAAGGGAGAAAGGATACAATATTGTCAACAATGTAATGGAAGTTAATACTGACATAGCACTTGCTCATCGCACTGACTATCACATCTCTCAGCTTGAAACCCTTCAGGATCGAATCCGAAATTGGGTTGACGGAGGATCTGGTCCTGCTTCGCTCTCTTGGCTCATCTCTCCCACTCCTGTCCTAGTACTTGGCAATTCACATGCACACACATGCTGTCTACCCAAATTTGCTCTGTTCTCTCTGCCCCAAGTCTCTTCCAGATGCCTAGCATTCCTTCTTCTTCAGCAATTTTTGCTTAAAAAATTCTACTTGTTGCCATGTATTAGATAGAAAACCGAACTCCTTCTCAGGGGTGGGGGTGGGGAGATGGTTGATTGGCCAAGACTGCCTCTTCTATTAGGAATAACTGCAGCCTCTTCTTTTGCCGGCTAGATAATCTGGATGTAAGTTTTCAGTAAGCTTAAGCCTTGCCTGTGAGGATGCTAACATTTCTTGGCTTTGCCCACTTATAAGCAATTGCTTTCTATAAGTAAGCCACTTTTTTATATAAGTAAAAACTGTAAGAAAAAGAGGCTTTTCTATAAGTAAACTGCTTTCAAAGGTCAATCAAGACATCCTCCACTCTTGGGTCAATTTCATGGTTGTACACTCAAAGGGCAATATTACTTACAAGTTTGAAGGACTGATGTCTTACAGCACCCAGATCTTTCTCATAGGACTGAAATGTAAGGTAGTAGACTTTGGGCTAATAATAAAAAGTAGTATATGTTTATAAAAGTATTTTAAATTTAAAATCTAGAGCCTAGAGTGGTACCATGTTTATTATATCTCTTCTGAATTATCTTGGTGGTGAAATAAATTAATGTTGGGACCAGCAGTTAGTATAATGGCTATGTCGCTGGACTCCCACATAATCGACTGCGGTTCAAGTCCTGGACCCGGTGACTTAAACTCATGCTGGGCGCGTGTGTGTGCGTGCCCAAGATCCCAAGAGGACAGTGGAGGAGAAGGAATTGCGGCATGGCCATCCCCCTTTGGGGGAATTTCTTGCTATCTCTCTGTCTCTCTCTGTCTGGCGAGCGCACATGTCCTATAGCGAAACCTCTCCAAAAAGAAAAAAAAAAAAAAGAAATAAGTTAATGTTTTGCTTCTAAACATCCAGTCATAATATTTGTAATTCAATAGCAGTTTGATTTTTCTTTTCTTTTTTTGAGAGGTTTTTGCGATAGGGCATGTGTGCTCGCCAGAAAGACAGAGAGAGACAGAGAGATAGAAAGCGAGAAATCACCCCTCAGGGGGATGGCCACACCACAGTCCTTTCTCCTCCATTCTCCTCTTAGGATCTTGGGCACACACGCACATGTGCCCGGCCTGAGTTTAAGCCACCAGGTCCAGGACTCATGGTCGACTACATGGGAGTTCAGCGACATAGCCATTATGCTAACTGCTGGTCCCAATAGCAGTTTGATTTTTTAAGATAAACTTATAGATACATTTTCCTGCCTGGAATATAGCCCTTTGCTTAGTCAGCAAGCAAAGCTATTTAAAATAAATATAATGGGCCAGTGCTATTGTTAAGAGAACCGGATCCCGCATGGCTAACTATGCAGTTTGAATCCCTGATTCAGAGGCATCTCTCTCTGTCTGTCTGGCGAGCGCACGCGCCCTACAGTGAAAATCTCTCCAAAAAAAAAAAAAGCCAAATTAAAGTATTTATACGTTTATTTTTCATTTGCTTAGTATTGTTTTTACTCTTTAGTATCAGAGCAGGTAAAAGCAAAAATATCAAGAATATAAGATATAAATTAGTTTCATATTATCTGGGTGACATTCATATCTTACATTAGCATTTACTTAAATACCTAAGACTTTAATATTTTATTGAAATTTCTAAAAGTCTGAAAACTATAATGATGGTAAATTTAAGTCCTTCATGTTCCCTAAGCTTTTTATATACTTAAATTCACAATATTTTAATCAGACTTTTAAGATCTTTCCTACTTTGTTTCAGCCAGTTAGTTTTAGAAGAAATAAATTCTGAAAGCTATCTCCTACCTCAGTTATTTTGGGATTCCAAGTTGTCATCATTACCATGATGGTGGATGGCTTTCCATTGCTTTTCTGGTAACAATTGAAGGAATTTATCTAATCTGCCTCCCGCTTCCAAAATACATTCTAGTAATACAGATTTTTCTTCATACAGGACTTGTAAAAACCCTCCATCCCCAGACCTGACCTGACTCAGTATTTACTTGGCTACTGGATCCTTCTAACTGGTGTAGGTACAAAGATAATTTCTAGGTCAGTTTTCTTAAGTCAAAGCAATTCCTCTAACAAAACCAATTTACTATATCAACAAGAAAAGATCCAAAAAATCCAAACGAAAAGCCAGCTTCTGTGGCACAGATTGTAGAGTTAGAAACCAAATGCTGACCGCGGTGCCCCCAATCTGGTCTACCTAAAAACATGCTCAGTGAGCCCTGGTGCACTAGGAGGGCTAGAAGACGATCACAGTGTGACCAAACCCTGCGGACTGTGCTTTTTCCCCTGCGGGACACTTACCCCACTTTCACACATGTGCTCTATCA